TTCTTTTATTTTTTTAATTTTATTGGTTACATCTAAGATCTTGTAAACCCTAGATCTTAAGTCTTCTTTTATATTTTCCGGTTTACAACTGGGGTGAAGATTTCTTACCATGACTTTTATTGGTCTGGTCCGCTTGTTTTCGTATGCCATTCTAGTCCAGATCCATTCATGGCCCTGGTAAGATTCCTCTAATCCATTTCGGAATTTACAATAAGCTTAAATTGATTGTTATTCATCATTTTAACCTTGTAATTGATGTCCTTATTTTTTAATGTTGACTCTATTTGATTGTAGTCAACCACATTACTTATAACTACTGGAGGCGGCCTAGAGTTTTTTGTGACATCGCCTCGACTTTTAGAATCAGGAACATCCGCTTTCTTAGCGTTGATCGTCACCTGGACCACTTCCGCAGATGATTTCGCTTTTCTTTTTTACTGGACCTCTTTTGCTTTAGGATCCAATCTGTTTCTCTGGCGAGTTCTTCTTCATCTGTTGAGTAGTCCTCCAAGATTGACCTCACCTGCTTTGCTTGTAGTGCAGCGTCTTTTTCTTTATGAATACTATTATTAGACTTATTGTTTGTAATTCGCACATGTTTCTCTTTCTTTAGCTTCTCATTCTCAGCCCTCAGTTGAAGAACTTCGTTTTTCAAAGCCACACAGTGCTTTTTTTGGCTTGAGCTTTACTCATTGTTATATCCTTATTGGCCTGTGGAACTTGAATGTTCGGTAGTCCACCTTCTATATTTTTATTCTTTTCTAAAATATGCACATCAGATGTAGGTGGTGAACACCTGGTTTTCGCGTTCCACCTGAACGGATCAATCAAATACAATAAATGGCTCTCCCCAGAATCCGTAGAGCCGACGTAGTTGGATTACCACCTGGGGTACTAAATCCTTTTGTTTTGTCCATTGCATAAATGATTAAATTTTTCATTTTATACCTTCTGCCAGGATTAAAAAACTGCCGTCCCTTAGGGATCTTACGCAGACCAGGGAGCTGTCTATTCTAGGTTAGACGCTTCTGCATATACCGCCCGCACGCTTCCTAACCAACCAAACCTGGATTAAGCGCCGAGTACTCGCTTTCACCCGCTCTTGTCAGCATTACTAAGTAAGTTGCCCAGGAGACATCAGGCTGATAACTATGTTACCTACCTTCTGGGAGGTGAGAGTCGGATTTGTTGGCAGAGCTGATGCTTTCACAGGGCATTTCCTAGCATTTTCAGCTTCACATGTTACGAAAATGTGAAACCGACTAGGACCCATGCCAACCCTTGTTTTCCCAAAATATTTCAATAAATAGACCGTCTGGTATAAGACATTTTTAAAAACCTTTAAAACCTTTATAAAGTTTGTGCACGCAAAGCATGTGAAATAATACTTTTTGAACAAAAATTTAGTGTATTAAAAACTTTTAAAATGTTACAGCTGTCAAAACATATGTTTTTCATTGTTTTATGTCAGAAGGTTTCATTTTTGAAAACAAAATTTTTTTTTAACAATAATTTTTTTTCAAAACAATTAAAAATAAGCTAAATGGATTCCCAAATGGTTTTTTCTAAGTTTCACACTTGTATAAATCTAAAATCAAAATTTTCGGTTTTTGGTATAAGAAGAATAGTTCTTTAAATTTGATAAGTTTAATTTTTTTTAAATGAGAATTTCTTTTGTTTTACGTCATTGTTTTCCCAATTTTATTTTTATCTCAGACATACCTATAATCTGCCGCACTACATTGCGCTAACCTAAGGTAGCTTTGATTAAATTTTTCAAGTTTTCAACTCGATCGACTTCAATTAAAATGTCAAAATTGCAAAATTATCGTTTATTGAAAAAATTCTATACCAACACATTATTTTGTCGGCTGACGTAGACGAATTTTCATTATTTGACACTTTAACTGATTAATTGATTAACTTGATTACAAAAGTGGCGACTTTAAAACTAGCAGAAGAAGGTATATGTAAATAATTTCGTTAGTCAAGGTAATGTCAACGAATTTTTAAATACTGCAAAAAAAGTTTTTTTTTATTTACAAATTATATTTTTCAATAGAAATTTTTTATCAAGAATTTTCAAGAATTACCAAGGGCCTAAGGAAAAAACAATATCGGAGTGAAAATGCAAAAGAAGGAGCCGGGAACCTAAATTTTAAAATCGGAGCAGAGCGGCAACCTTGATGGGATCTATGAGGCGACTTTTTGACATCATATATCTCTCACAAAATCAACTTTCTTTATATTTCTAATTGGAAAAAGTGAAAACTCAGTCTTTTTCTACTTTATTATTTGCTTACATTTTTAAAGTTTTGTGTTATTAAAACATTAAAAAATTGATTTAAAAAAAACCTTCCATGTTCCGTTCATTTTTTTAAGATTTCAATAAATACAAGAAAAAAAATAGTGCATTTTTTTTTTGAAGTTGATTTTGATGTTAACGAGTTTGCTAATTTTGTATGATATATTTCCCAAGATGCATACTTCTTATACAATCACGTATATATCTATATAATTTTTTTATGTGTACTATATTAAATAAATTTATATGCTCCATTATTCATAAAAATTATTGCCGTCATATGTGAATTCTTTTTATATAAAAAATCCATATATGTAATTCTTTTTAGGTATATACATATGTGATTTTAGTTTAATTAACAAATATTTTCACACTGTTAGTAAGGCTATTTCACTAATTTATCTAAACTACCGCATCAGTAACTTTTACAAATTTCTTTAATTTTTATTATATTTGTTTCTATATAGGGGACAATTTGACACGATGCATTTTTATAATGATTATAAAATTTTAAAAGCACTATCATAATTATAAAACCTAAAATCAAATAATTACAAGATTGAATTCTAAATTTAAATCTAATAAAATTTTTATTAACTTTAATCTAATAAAATTATTATAACTTTAATTTATTGTAGACTAAAAATATAGCACCAATTTTTTTTTATTCAGTGTATTATCATTTTTTACTCTCAATTCTTTCACATGTTGCTGACATGCGGTACAAAAATATGCGGAAAAAACTCGAAAATATATTTAATCAAAATTATAGTTAAAATTTTGAGTCGAAATTTGAATTTTTACATGATGTTTAGAAAACTGCAAATTTTATTTTAATATAAAAATTTTTTGGTTTTAGTCAACTTTTCGTATGAAAAATTCTAAATGAAAATATCAAAAATCATCATTTTTCAAAAAAACAATAAATAATGATTCTTCAGAAATGTCATTTCGCCAAAATTAGATAGGCAATTTTACAAATACATTCACAAAAACACAGGGTGCATGAAGTGATTTTTTATAATATAAAGGCCAAAATACAAATTTTTTTTTGTTAAAGACATTTTTTGTTCATGAACACAGTACTGCAAATTCAAAATAGCAAATTTTGTATACAACTGTTAAAAATATATTACGTATCTATCACATTATTGTTTCGCAGTATTGTGTTAATGAAAATGTCTCCTGTTTAAAAGTTATTGCTGGAGTGCTATATCTCACATGAGAATAAGCGTAAATTACTCTGACTGACTGAAATCACTTTATTTCATTTAATTCAACGGCACCGAAAATTTATTTATGTAATATGTAGTCAGGGTAGTTGTCGTTCTAATTGAGCGTCGAGGGTAAGTACTATCAATTTTGGCCGTTTTTACTTACATTTGGGTTTTTTTTAAATATTTGGCCCATTTATTTTTTCGTGGCAACCCCGGTTAACACTTTTGTCTTGTATTGAGCTGAGCAGCGTTCCCACTTGGATACAATTGTATCTATTTGGATACATTTTTTGCTTTAAATTTAACTTGGATACAAAGATACTCAAATTTGCTAAAATGCCGAAATTCGCTACATTTCAAAATTTTGCTGAAATATGGATACACTTATTTCTCAAACACTAAATAAATGTTACAAAACTGTAAAATGCTGCTAATATTAAAACGCGAAATTGCTTTATCTTTAAAAAGTGTTATTTGCTGGCCTTTCTAAACAGATTTCCGAGTTTACTAGAAGAAAGTAAGAAATCTGCTTTATTAAATGAGTACTGCCTCTTCCTGTATTCAAATCAAGAACATTTAGCCAAGAACGTACCAGAAATATATTGGTGTAAGCTAGTTGTAATAGAAAATGCATTGGCTGTACATATTTTTTAAAATTTTTCCGTTTTAATGGTGAATTGTCTTTGGCACATAATTCAACTACTACAGAAGGCATATATGCATATGTTTTTTCTGACCTTAACTTTCACATTTAAAATATAATAGAAGTTGTATATGATTTCTTAAAGAATTTACTATAAATAAAAAAACCAACAATAGGACGGCTTGGTATAAAAATTATACTTAATGAGTTTGGATACATTATGGATAGGGTTGCCACATAATGACAGGCTCAAAGTAGGACATATAACAAAAAAAACCACATAATGACAGGCTCAAAGTAGGACATACAACAAAAAAAAAAGTCAGTATTATTTGTAAATTAAATATTTTTATTGATTGTGTCTGAACTTATATTTTTTATCACTTTTTGCACATTTCAATAACTCAGTGTCATATTGTATTTTTTCATAAAATTGCAGGCAACTAATTTTTAAATTGACACTAATTAGAAGTTCTGCTCTAATAAGTTTAGAAGAACACAGAACACCTGTTTCTTTCATCTGTCCACTTATTATTCATAATCGAAAAAACACGTTCAATAAACGACGATGAAGCTGGAATGCTTAAATTATGTGACAAAATTTTAAATATATTATCGTTATTCGATGTTGTATTTTTTAAAATAATACTCCATTTATCGGGTAAAAAAATGGTTTAAAGTTTAAAATTAGGACAATTTTGCTTTCATGTAGGACGTAGGACAAATTACGTGATTGTGGGACTGTCCTACCGAAAGTAGGACGTGTGGTAACTCTAACTATGGATACATTTTTTCCTTGAAATTGGATACATTTTGTTTTTACCAAGTGGGAACACTGGAGTTGAGCAATTAAAAAATATTAAAACAAGTATATACTTACGTGATAAACAAATACTAAACAAATTCAGAAATATTTATACGAATGCAAGGGAAATAACACTATAGCATTTGAAAAACAAAAACATGATTTGCCGACTTTGTTCGGAGCACAAGGAAGATATGTTAGATTTCTTCGATTCTGTAGGATTGGAAAAAAAAATTGTTAGTATAATAGCAAAACATTTTTGGTTTGAGGTAAAGAATATATTTTGTTAACATGAATTTGCATAAAAATTTAATGAATGAATATGTATATATTTTTAAACAAATTTTTTAGCCAAAATTAGACGACAAATCTCACACAATATGTGTTCCTTGTTGGACAACAACAAAAAATTTTCATGAGTTGTATATGCTTGTTGAAAAGGTTGAAAAATATTGGACAGAAACATTGTCTTCTATAAAAGAAGACCCTAGTAAAAGTCAGGAATTTGATATTCAAGAAATTCAGCCTACCCTAAGTGAGAGACAGGATTTAAAGGAAAATTATTTTGGCTATGGGGCGTTGATGGATAAAGTACACGAAGGTGAAACCGAATTTAAATTAAAATAAGAATCTTATAATTTTCACGTACAATTTACCACTAACATTTTAACAGGAAATCTTAATGCTAAGGTAAAGGGAAAATTAAAAAAGGAAGGCAAAGATAAAAGAAAAATATTTAAACGAACACCGGAGGAAACATATGCCTTCAATAAAAAAATTGCTGAAGGTGATGCCTTAATTGCCAAATTTATGAAAATATACTGTAATGTATGTTCAAAAGAACAAATAAATTTCACAGCTTTAAAGCATCATTGCACGTCAAATCATGCTCAGCAAGGAGTGGTAATGTGTTGCGGGAGAAAATTTTACAAAAAATGTAAATTGGTAGAACATATTGAAATGCACATTGATCCTGAAAAGCATAAGTTGTAGCAGATTTATTCAAACTTACAAATTAACAAAATGAATATTTTGTAGATGTCACATTTGCAATCATATTTCAGCGAATCATTGGAATCTGAAGATACATATGGAAAGCATTCATAAGGAAGAAAATGACAAAATAAAGGCTTTTAAATGTTCATATTGCAGTAAGACGTTTAAACTTCAAGCACAATTAGCACGTCATAAGCTAATTCATTTACCAGAAGAAGAAAAAAAATTTAAGTGCTCCTATTGCAAAAAAAAGTAATTTAACACGTTCCAGATGTTTCGGTTTAAATTTGATCGTATATTTTTCATTTCATTTCTTTTATAGTTTTCCCTCAGAATCGAACCTAAAGTATCATATACGTTTATGTCATGAAGGATATTATTCAGGAGTGTGCGATATATGTGGGAAGGCTTATAACAACAGGCAAGATTTAAAACGACACCGCCTCCAAATTCATGAAGGTGTAGGAAAGTCGACACATAAATGCAAATATTGTTGTATGGAATTTGGTTCAAAATACGCATATAACATCCATAAGTTTCGAGAACATGAAAATCAAAATCCAAATATCGATTTTAAATGTACTATATGTAATAAAATTTCAGCGAACTCGGAGGCACTAAAAAATCATATTCAGTATGTTCATAGGGCCAAAGCGAAGTTCGAGTGTACTTTGTGCAAGAAAAGCTTCAAAAGGGAATTAGCTCTTAAGGTAATTAACATTTTCTTTATTAATATTCACTTATTACGTGTTTTATAAATTACAAAAATAAGGGTTAATAATACATTTTATGCAGATATGGGTTTTACTTCAAATTGATCTTTTTTCGTATAAAAGTGAATTCATTATATTAAAGCAAAATTTTAATTTGCGGCGGTTTCAAGCTTTTTGTTTCTTGAATGTTGCCATTTGAGTTGCGTCATTTTTGTGTTATCATGTTATTTAAGTCATTTCTGTCATCATAAACAATAAATTCAAAATTATCCAATTAGAATATGATGTGATAATTTTAAATTTAACAAAGAATTTTACAGTTCAATGACGAGTTAAAATCGATTTCCAACCTAAAAAAGACTAAATGTGGGAAATTTTGTTTATCTTTCTGTAATTTTTCTATTCTTTTTCTTTTTTTTTTCTATCGTTTTCCGCTTCCTTTTTCTATAATTTTCGATTTCCTTTTTTATTATTTTCACATTATTTTTTTCCATCACATTATAATCTATTTTCTTTTTCCATAATTTTCTGCTTTTTCTGTAATTTTCTACTCTCTTATTTTTATAATTTTTTTTTGCTCTATCTTTAATTTTTTTCTTTTTTTATATAATTTTCTATTTTGTTTTTCTTTCTACATGTACGTACAATTTTTAATCTACTATTTTATTTTTTATCAGTTTAATAAGAACTTCATTATGTTATAATTTAAAAAAGAGTTATTGAGCAAAATCTCTCCTGAGACTGTTTTCAGTCTCTTCGCCGTTAGTTATCTTATTTCTGCAAAAAATTCAAGAATAGCTTAAGAAACAGTGCTCTAATCGAAAGAAATGGAAACCTCGAAGATTTACTCCAAGATCTCAAGATGGTTTTTAAATCAATGAAGTAACCAATGTTACGAAAATGGAAAAATCAGAAAATGTAATTCTTCATTATAACGAAAAATTATAATTATTTATTTTAAAGCTCGATAGAAGCTAGACCATTGAAAAAAAATGCAGCGTGAGATCTATCTTGAATCACAAAAAGTTGTTTAAATATATTGATTCCGATTAGTTTCGACTTTTATGTCATCCTCAGTAATACTAAGTTCCCTGAAATAATTTTTTGTAAAATTTTAAGTCAATATTTAATAATAAATTATTTAGATATGTATGTATTAGTGTACATATATAGTTTTGGAACATGTAACTGCGCAAAATTGTATTACCCTATTTATATTAGTGAAAATTATGAGAGCTCTTTTGTTTTTTTTTTTTTAAATTTTGAAGAATAAGTGTTGAACTATTCAACCCTGCCTGAAGTAATATTGTTGATAGATTTGCAAATATTATTTATATCAACGAATTAGAAACACTAAAGGAAGGAGCATCTTGAAAAAACAATGAAGCCAAATTTTTTTTGGTTGTCTTTTTGCTCCGAGCATTGTAAAAGTTATAATAGTATTAATTTTATTAAGTATTAATTTTATTTTCTTGTCTGACCGCTACTATAAAATATGTGTAATTTGTAAGAAGGATAGGTTGAAAATTTTTTTAATGCACAAACTAAAACATATTTCGAAATATTTTTTCATTTTAGATATCTGTAATAAAAACAAAATTTTAACAAAACTCATTATTTTTTTTTCTCTTTGAATAAATTTAATTTATAAATTGCAAATAACTATAAATATTTTAATATCACAATATTTTAGAAGTCCGGAAAATGAACATATTTTGCTAAAGAATTTCTATATCTAGCAAATATATCTATTGCTTTCACACATTCGAATTTTTTATTTTACTTTATTGAAATGAAAAATAAATTATGGAAAATAAATTTTGTTGTCAAAATAAGAATAACAAAATATTTTACCTAACTTAATTTAATTGAATTTGAGTTCAATGTTGCGATACACTCGTTTGTTTACCATAATATGTTTCTTTCTTGCCTACACAACTCTTATTACCATCTATTTCTAAATAAAAATCGAATATTTTGAGATTTTGGAAGTGGCAAGCAAACGAAAACTAACGGAATGGAACTAGTCGAACTACTTCTTAGATAGATATACTTTGTTAACTATCTAATACTGTTAACTATCGCTTTAGTGCATCTTAAAAAACCCGCTTAACTGCGCAAGTAACAGGAACCATATTAAATATAGGTAACCACCAACAAAAAACAAAATTGAAATAACTTAGTTGTTAAATTTTATTTGACATTAGACGTACATGAAAACAACTTATTTTTCGAAAACTTTAAAAAAATATTTTCGAAAACTAAAAAAAAACTGAAAAACATTGTTAAAAAATTAATGCAATTAAACGATTCGCGCAGTTATAGGAAACGCAATTAACCGATTTTTTTGTCATTGAATGTAGTGGAGAAAGTAAAAGCTCTAAAAAAGATGACATACTTAAAAAGGAAACGCTTTTAATCCGGAAGCAGCTAAACATGTATTACTGTACTTAATTTGTCATTTCATAATTCACATATATATGTATGTTTATTAATTATTTATTTTTCCGTTTCCTGTTCTATTTAAATTTACTCGCAGATAGCCCTGTAAACTTATTCGTAGATAGTGCACACTACACACCTGTTAAACAAAGTAAAATTTATCCAAAATCCATATGCTTTTTTCTTACTCTAAGTCGGCGTTTACATGTCAATGTCCATCATGATTGAAATTGAAGTTAATTGGCCATGTAAACATCATCAATCAATCATTTTCATCAATCTTTTGATTAAAACAGCTGTGATCAGCTTTCAAAAAAAAAAGCGAAATTTCCAAATAAAATCTTTGTAAAACCATTAAGTAACGGCTTAAATGAATGAATAACAAAAACATCTGATGTGGTCAGCACATAAACGACCGCAATGTGTATTGTCTAGTTTAATGAAATTGGTACAGAATACTATAAAAATGCCTGTTAAATAGTTCTTTCCAATTTTTAGGGCATTAATAAGCTTATAGTTAACACACATAGAAAATTGTAAATTTGGCTCTTAGTAGAGTTTTGCTTTGTGCTACCCGAATTCCCTGAAATGCTCGCCAGTTAGTTTCGGTTACAACCAGAGCTAAAATATCAAATTTTAAGAAATTCCATCGATTCGTTCCGTAGATATGGTAAAAAATGTAAAATCGGTCCTCAGATTTCTTGAGTTTACGAGCCGTGATCATTCCATAAAAATTTATATACTCGTTGTTTTGATACGAGAAATTTAAATATAAAATAAAATTTGTTTATAATGTATTATAATGTATTTTTAAATGTACTTTCTTTTTTTTCGTATATAAAAACATTGTATATAAATTACCATTGCAAAAGTAATGATAATTTATGTGCAATTTTAAAAAATAATAAAAATAAATTTTAAAAAAGCAAATTAATAAAATTTTATAATATCAATAAACATTTTAAATTTGTTAAATATATTACTCAGCAAAAAGCATATGAAGCTTATGTATGTACGAAAATTTGTGCATCTATTTATTTTTTTTTTCTCCTCTTGGGGACCGAGACACTCTAGCCCTGCTCACGTCGACTCGTAAGATCTCTTGTGATTCGCATTCCCATCTAAGGTAGCCCTATAACCAGGCCCTTGGCAAACCGCAGCAAGCACGACCAGGTTCCGCCCCTCCAGACCCAAGAGTGGCATAAATTTCTTAGAGTGCGAAAGGTACCAGCAGCTGTTCCAATGTTAAACTCTGGGTTGCTCCTGCTAGTCACTCAGAGTGCGCACTGTCCTTGGCACCATAAAGCATGGCTCCGGTCCAACGGAAGGATTCGCCGCTCATCCCTGGCGAGTCCATGAGCTCTCTTATTCCCGTGTATATCGTAATATCCCGGCAATGGATAGATGGACAGTGTCCGAGGGCCCTTGTCAGGTTCACGCCCTGGCCGTACACACCCACACCCTCATAGGCTTTGTATCTATCCGTACAGAACACCACGGACCAAGGGCCAAATTGTGGCCGCTATTCCTCCCAAATCCGCAATGTAAGGCTTAACTATGTTCCTCGTTAAAGTTCAAGTTTTTTTTCTGTTAGGTGAAATAATCCCGAAAGGTGAAGAGAAACGGCGCTACCAGCCTTTTTTCTCCGACAGTGGGGGAGCGTGACTCCTACCTTAAAAAATCACCTAAACTCTGAGCGGATAAAACTGGTCCTAAAGATCAACTATTACCTCTGCGCTGACTTGGTTTTTCCGTTCAGGAATTAAATATCTTCCATAAGGAAATTGGTATTTCGTGTTAAATCGAAAGGTCCTGTTCGTTTAAGTCTTTCTGTCATAACGCCATTGTCTAGCAGCCGAGCTGCTTCCATATTTATATGCTGCTCTAGACGAGCTCTATGCTTTGTAGCCCAACTAATAATTTTATCTGCAACCAAAAGAACCCCTAAATCCCTCTAGATGTCCCCGTTACGTATATACCAAGGCGCACTTACTATGTCCCGTAGAACATTATTCTGGAAGGTTAATGTGAGTTTTTGTTTTGTTAATCTTCTTGGCACAACCCCACAGTTGAATGCCATATAGCCATATTGGTTTAATGATTTGGCTATAAATCATTACTTTATTATCAATTGCCAAATTGGACTTACGACCTAGGAGCCAATAATTTTCTCTTTTATTTATTTTCTAATTCTATGTGTTTCTTCTTTATATAATCTTTCCACCTTAGCTTGACATCTAAAGTCATTCGAAAGTTAGGTATTTTGCTGAGTTATGGATTGCTACGTTCGTTTCATTTAAGTTGATTTGTGGTGGATTCACTATTTTTCGATTGGTGAAGTTTATGTGAACCGATTTTGGTTCATTCAATTCCCAATCGTAGTCCACTGTAATTTTTTTGTCGAATCGTCAATGTTCGATCCTACTAATATTGCAGTATCGTCAGCAAAAGTGGCTACCGTAGCATTTTTTATGGAAGAGGTACGAGTGGTAGATCACTCGTAAGTAATTTTATTTGTGGTAGATCACTCGTAAAGCAAGTACAACGTTGGGCCT